CCCTCCTGTTTCCATGCTTGCAAAAAAAAAAAAAAAAAAAAGCCTTTACTCTTTTAACGATTTTTTTTTCCTCCAGCTTGGTCTGATCCTTCTCTAAGAAAATATTTTACAATCGCTGGAGAAAAATAAAAGAGAGGTGGTTACATTCTTCAGTATAAAGTGAAATAATCCAGCTAAATTTTGAGTTTCCACTAGACTTATAATACCTATAGTTTAAATATTCTTTCAACTTAGTTGGAAGCCAAAGTTGAGGCTTAGTATGCTATTCTTATCTAGATGCTTCTGATGTTATTTTAATCACTCAAATATTTGTTTGAATTTTACTTCACTGTGATTTTTGAAAACTGCTCTTGCAGCATCTGCTGTCATTTTTCCACCTTAACTAAGATTTAATAAGAGGTAAGAATTTTCACACTGCAGATGGCTATTAGAACAATGAATATAGAAAAGTTCAGTGTATAAAGCAGAGATCCATATAACTTGTTCAGTAAATTTATAATAGAAAGCAGAATACGCAGAACTGTTGGACCATGCAGAAGCAGCATTATACAACCAATCAAGATGAAGTTGAAGTACAGACTCTACATTTCATAAGCTATCCAACTACATGGGTAAGACAAGGACTCCTACCTGGCACTTCTCAGTATGGTCTCCTGAGAACATTTCAGTGGTATCTATTTAAGTCAAATATTTGGAATATCTCCCCCTACACCCACATCCTCATCCAGTGTCTCCCACTGAAATGAATTAGTTTAATTTGAAAATGACTAAGACTACATATCAGGAGTTTTTTCCTTTCAAAATATCCCACACCCAGAGTGAAAATGTGATCTGTGGTGGACACAGGCTATCACGACATCTAGGTCAATGAATGATAGGTCTACCAGTACATCTTTAGAATTCCTGGTTTAATCTTAAGGCACAGGAGTCTCAAATTAAGCTTCTGCTAGGTTCAAATACAGAGGGAAAATTTGAAAAGTAGAACTTCATTTTTAGAACAATTCCAAACTTTATCTCACTACTTAAACATAAGCAACCTGAAGCAAAGAATTACTCTTACATAAGTTGAACCTTGTATAGTAAGATTTTTTGCCAATCGTCCCAAGGCAAAACAAGATTTACCTTTTTCCAGGCCTCTCCAATAGATTCATGCAAGCCATAAGGAATTAGCATCTGCAGGCCTTCACAAGTTCTGTACATCTGACGACACACAAAAATGAAAGCTCCTTTAACAATGGGCAACAGCTCGGATCCAGATAAAAGAGAAACGTCGTCGTGAAGAAGTTTCTTTGTAAACTGAACAATGACATGAACAGCTGTAGGACTAGAAATAAAATAGCACTTTTAAAATGTTGTTTTGCAGTCATCAGTAAGCCTTGAAACAAATCCTCTGACGAAACTTCTTTAAATTTTTCTAGGAGAAAAGTAACTATGGAAAGAAACTATGACCCACTATGGAGGGGCCAACTATATTATAACTTGTAACAACAGTCAGAAGAAAAGTACAGCAAGTGATTTTACTTTGCCTGCAGGTAAAATAACGCAAAAATGCATCCATTGTCTCCCACCCAGCCTACATGGCCATGAACTACACAGACTGTTTTACAGAAGAGTTCAACTAGTGATAGTAATAATCCAATCATTTGAGCTTCTGATTTATCAGTGTTAAGGATATCAGTACAAGGCAAAATTTGTCCTTGTACCTTCCATTTTCCCATCTGAGATCTCCTTCTGAAGTCTTCTGAGTTTGCAATTCAAAGGACAATTCTTTCTCCAAAATATTATCCTTTACTTCCAACCCCCTTAGAAACATCTGCATCTTCTGAGATGCCTCCATTTAAAAAAGATACAGTCTAATCATTTTCAAGTTCTGCAGCTTAGATATTTTTTAAGGCTATTCTACATTTTCCTGCCCTGTTTCAAGTTTTAGCATCAGCTAAATATATTACCCACAGAATCACACACATGCTAAATGACGTAGTGTGTTATAGAAGTCTGCTTCTAATATGAGATCTGTCTCTACTAGATGTATTGAAAAATGAATGCTACTCTTTCAATAAATCAGGTTCATGTTTAATATTTATTCTGAAAAGCAAACAAACAAAACATAGAAGACAGGCCTTTGGCCTGAACAGTAGCACTATGAATATAATGGAACTACATTCAGAGAAAAAAAAAGCTCCCACATGAATAACAAGTAAACCATGGAAATCTTCCTTAATAAAAGTATTTCCTTAAATTGTCATTTCACCTGATTATACATATAAACATCTTCAAATACATTCTCTAAAACACTTACTACATTACTTGATAAGAAAATATTTTTCTCCAAATATAAACAAAAACATATCCTGTTAGAGATAAATGAAAAAAAAAAATTAGTCTCATAAATCTAGTGCAATTCATTAAAGTACTCACTAATGCCATTCATTAACGTACTCTTACCTATTTTGTTTGGCATTCTTTGCATTTTCTCCATAAAGAAGAACAGAAAGACCATCTTCTACAGCAGCAATCTTTGCCAAAATATCAGCTACATCAACTAAAGTGGTTTCGAGACAATTTATATTCACCTATTTAGAGGAAAAAAAGAAAAAAAAAAAAAAAAAAAAAAAAAAGACAAGTTTTAAATTCAATGTTTTTATGAAAGCTGTTTGTTCATCTGGCTTATGTAAGCCAAACGTGAAGGTCACCTTTCCAATTATTGCTTAATGGCTTAAACATCATCACATAGAAATTTTCACCACTAATGGCAATAATTGTCACTTCTAATGATCATGGCAGAAGCCCAACGACTACAGATATAGAGCACAGACATTCTGAAACTCCTTGCTCTCTTTCCCCACCGTGAATGTAGAAAGGCTCTTGATATGCCATCTAGGGGTATAAGAACAATACCTGAATCAAGGTGACAAACACTTCAACTCCCTTGTTGCTACATATGAATTGAGAACTCTTTGGCTAGAAACAGAATTCCAGTTCCCAAGATCTTCTGCATCCACCTCTTTTGCTGACTATTTGTCCCAACAGGATGGATATTATCATAAATGGGAAACACAGAAACCAGATCCCTCCCTCTGGTCTTAAATCACATGCCAAGGATCCAAGGTGGCCAACCACTGGTGGAATGAAAAGGTTTATAAATCCACTTACGAAGATGAATGCAGTGGAGGAAGGGGAAAACTGACCAATGAATGAATGAATAATGAAATATGTCATTATTCATTCCTCTGCACCTGGCTGTGCTTACATCCTACCACCACTGGGGGCTCTGCCTACAACAGCTCTTCCAGTAACTAGAGATCCTCCATAGTACACTTACTACATAAATTATCTCCCCCAGCACACTGTAGGCAGAGCCAGCTTTTATACTGTCAACTTGGTGGGACACCTGACATTAATGCTGAAGGCAGCAGCACCTGATGGTGATCTCTTATTTGGTTCCCACCTAGGGCTGGCCAGACCCTGGGTGAAAACCAATCAGGAAGGTCATTCTTGCATGGCTGTGGACACCATCCACACATTGAACCTCATTCAGGGCTGGGGGTTTAAACCCCAGCACTTCACCACCTCGTTTCTAGGCTGCAGTAAGCCCAAACAGCCATTTGCTTTGGAATCACAAGGAAATTCTACCCCAGTGGAACAAACCAAAAGCCCTCTGCAAATTTCTTACTCCAGAGCACTGTGTAGTCACAATTAGGCTGTAATCAAGCAGGCTGGAATATTTAACACTGAGATCCAAACTGTGCAGTATGGTACCATGACTAATGAACTTACTATCCAGCTTAATGGTAAATTGGCCACTGATTATTAATAAGTTAAGTTAATAGTCCAAGAGTAGATAAGCAAAACATTGGTGCTCCAAGAGGAAACTGCCCAGAAGCAGCAAGGGCAGGATGCTCTACAAGAAATAAGAAGCCAGAGGCTGAGGGTGATAATGAGGCACACAGATGCAATGGCTTGCCATCAAATGGGCAGGCATTCCCACCATACCCAAGCGAGGTGAGCAGACAAGGTCCAGTAACACTAACCAGGTTCATCCAACAGTCCAGATCCCCTCCAAAGTGATGAGGGAGGTCCCACGTTAAGCCAGAAAGCCAAATCAGTGATTTGGGGGCAGCTCCAGATACAGCAACCAGGGGCAGACACTCAAATGATCACGATGCAAATGGATTTATATTGACAAGACAGGTCTGAGATGAAGCGAACCAAGAAAGCGTGTCTGTATGTCAAGGTTCAGATCAGTGGGACAGTAGTCTTCAATGCTTCCACAAGATAGGACAGGCAGGGAATGAGGACAAGAACATCACCTTGAAAAACACTTTTAGAAGGGTGGAGAGGAGGTGGAGTGAGTCCACACCGAACCTTATTAGCAGACTCATCACTGGAGGGAATTCTCCTGGGACTTCCTAGCAAAGCTGTATACCTGTAACTATGCTGGTTCTGAGCCCAGGCTGCCAAGCCCAGGAGAGTGGCAGCAGGGGCCAGATGTGCAGAGGGCCTGACAACAGTCAGTAGCTATAATTCTTTAGGATTTATGCCGTGTCCTAAACGTGCTCACCAAAACTCTGTTCCTGTCCACATGCCTCAATAATACAGTCATGAGATAGCCAAAGTGTACCTTCCCACCCAAGGACTGAGAAACACTTCAAATTCCTGATTTGTGCATAAATGTACTTACAAAAGAGGACAATTTTCAAAGTGAGAAGTCCCCTTTGGCAGCTTCCCCCTATGCACACCCAAGACAACAGTGTGGAGTCAACAGTGAGGTGAGTTCCAGGCAACGATGAAACTAGTGGAGGGGGGTTACTGTTCCCACTAACACTTGTTAAATAACTAGAATGTCAGAATGGGGAATAAAGCACCAGTTTCCTGAAGCTGAAGGCCACTGCTTAAATCTTTTCCATACTTCTGTTTCACCAAGGTCTTCTGTTATTCATCAAGGTCCACTCTTTCTGATTCATCAATCACTCACAAGATAAATTATTTTTTAAATGCTATGCAATCCAGCTCCTGCTTTTTCTCTTACAGGTAGCTCTACATTTTATATAGTGTACAAAGGAAGAGTAAATAGTCTTCCTGCTTTAAAATTTAAGGAATTTACTATTAATTCTGGTGGTTAAAGTAACCCAACTGAAAAATACAATTTTGACTTTTTTTTCAGTTAAAATTTTCAGTTATAGAGGGTTAAAAAACTCTCTGACATTTTATTTTTAGGTTACTAGGTATCCTTTTTCAGCTAAGGAAGGAACATAATATGCTGTCACTGTTTCTTCAAGTTTGTTATTATTTTGCTTTCCCTGTGCAACAGCAAAATAAAAACTGAAAACAGGATACTTTGTTTTTAAAATGTCAATACAATGTTCTGCACCAGCTATGCTTCAGCAACAACTCACAGGCTTCAGAGTCCAAAAGGTCAATACTGCTGCCTGCAGACTGATCCTTCTGACAGCTCCTGCTCATTAGTGACCGAGATTCTCCTCCCCTCTCTACTACAGATAGACAATACTACTCTGCATAAAAGGCAAGGAAGTCCTGCAACTTACCTGAGTGATTCAAATGTAAAATAACGGCATTGTGTTCGCTCATCAAGCCCATATTACAACCAAAAAGCCCCATATGCAGCTCCAGTACTACCCACTCCCCAACTCCAGCTGAAGAAAGATGCGTGTGTAGCCACAGCCTTCCTTTTGAGACAAGCATGGTCCAGTATTAGAAGCTAGCAAGATTTCTGGGGGCCTAAGAAGTGCCAATGTTCAAATTCTTGTAGAAAAGGAAGAGGACCACTGGCTTGGTTTGCATTTTCTAGCTACTGGTTTGTCAGATGCAATACAAAAATTTTGCATCTTCATTAGGACAAATACGACATTCCACATTCACAACACTTCACAACACATAACCAACCTACTACAGCTACTGTGAGTTAAATCTTCCCAAACATGGCCTGTTTTTTCAAACAGACTAGTTACTAATACAGAGGAGGGCTCACAAAATGTTAAAAGTTCAGCCACCCACAACAGAAAGCTGAGAACGGCAGAAATGAAACAAAAGGAAGAACTATTAAGTTCTGGGATAATTTCTTTTTTATCTACCAATGTGTAATAAAGATGAGAGGCATTTGTAAGTGCTTTAGAATACCACGTGACCACAGAGATTGCCTGGGGAATTACACAGGCCTCCATCACAGCAAATCAATGAAGTATTGCCCTAGTACTGTTTTTAAATTTGACCATCAGTGTTCAAACCACATGCAGGCTGAGTCACTTTTTGTACTTGAAAAAATTAACACTAAATTTTTTAAATGTATAGTAAAAACAAGACAAATTAAAGTGTTAATAGGGCAAAGGCATCCATAGATAGCCTTATAATAAAATATGTAAGCACTGCTACTTTATGTGCTCAGAAAATAATAAAGATACTGACAAAATTCAACTTTAAGAACCTAGGTATGGTATTTCAGTTAGGGAACCAGACTGTCTTTGCAAGCATGGGTTTCAGGAAGTAAACTCAAAGCTTCTGATCCATTAATTTCTCTCAAAGTCTATGTAAAACAGCTCAGGCTCCTCCACTGGCATTTCAGATCCACAGCCTCTCTGTCTTGAGACATACAATCACCCAGATCATCTCAGTCAAAACAAAAACAATAGGAACGTTCAAACTGTAACAGGACTTTCAAGTAGTTAGAGCTAATGTTTAAAAAGATTTTCAAAATTCTTACAGAAATGTTCAAAACTCTCTTCCTTTTATCATTCAGAAAACAATAACTTACCATGAAGAATTACATATTTTACCTATTTAATTATCAAGAATACATAAATTAAATTGACCAGCTGAATTTAAAAAGGAGTTAAAGCAGGCTACCTTCTAAATAGCAGGTAGGGCAAATAAGTATCCAAGAAATACCCAAAAGACACAAAGACATCAGAAGATTAAAAAAAGAAAAAAAAGTTATATGATTTTCCCAAGGGAATGGTCTCAATACAGTAAAATCTTTGCTACTATTCAAAAGACTACAAGAAAATGAAGCTTGTCAGACTAATCATAATGACAGCCTATGCTATTTAAGGCATACTATAATACTTAACATAGAAAATGCTACAGAAGTTACCATGTGACTAAATAAACCTATATAGAAAATACAGAAAAAATATAATATTAAATAAATTTTAAAATTTACTACAAACCTCTGTGCCACTCAGTAAACTTTGAACAGGATGAAGCAGGGCATCTATCACTGCATCCGTATACAGACATTCAGCAGCACATCCTGTTTGATCACAAAAAACTTGCAGAATCTCCATAACAAGGCTTGCTGGAGAATAATTGTCTGGTGAACACAAGAGGTATTTATTTATATTTTAACTTACACAAGCATATCTATACAGCTTATGTAGATGCTTCTGAATTATAATTTTGTTAAGCACTGATTTAACACAATTAGAGGGAAAAAGGAAAGGTAAAGGAGGAGAAAAATCTGCACAAAGAGCAGACCCAGACTAAAAAATGCAATGGAAGCTATCACATGCCTCATTACTTTTTACATTACTCATTATAGCTTACATTAAAACCAAACATTTACCTGTATGTGCTGCCAAAGCAGTCTTTGGGTAACTTGGAGAGTAATAAATAAGCTGAGTCAATAATACCAACAGGTCGGTTATGGAAACTCTATCTATTAAAAAAAAAAAAAAATTTTTTTAAATTTCTCTGCAAATAATGTGCAACTTTAATTTTACAAATAAAATGGAATTTGTAAATATACATTAAAAATGCTTTGCTTTGCTTTATCGAGAAAAATCAGCATATGTATGACTGATGAAGCAAAGGACATAGGCGTGTCCCTGGAATTAACAGAGGTTATTAGATTATTATTATTAGATATTATAAAGATATTAATCTAATGGAACACTACAGCTGTTCTCACACACTTGCATTTGTCAGTCCTGCACAACGTATCACTACATGCAGACTTCTCTGAACGTCCAAGGGCTGCTGCTTCTAGTATTTTCTGTCCTTATTAACACCTCTGTTGCACAGGTACTGACCTCTTCCTCTACCATTTTTTTACCTTAATGATATTAATAAGTTAAACTCAAGAGAAATTGTTTTCAATTTGCAATTAGCTTGAAATATTGATTTTGTTTTACACCTGAAAACCAGTTTTGGTCTCTGACCATGCCTCTTTTCCAACCAATTATATCAGTTGTTTTGACAACAGATGTTACTCATACCTAGAACGACCGAGTTGTTTACACACTGATCCAACTCTCCTTCAACATGAAAGTAAAATATTAAATTAAGGACAAAAGCAATTCCTCATTCCTCCCCTTACCTTTTTTATTTTTCAGTTGTACAGGGAAGAGACTGCGGCCTTGCTTATAGATCAGCAATCTTCCTAAAAGGCACAGTGAATGAACAAAATAGACATACTGCAGTTCTGGTCCAGTGTAAGAAAAGATCTGTTTATCACCTGTAACAATAAAACTGAAAAATTAGAACCTCATTCTTCATTTATTTTACAGTACCTAGCAACTACCTGCAATGTACGTGGATCATTTTGTATATAAAGACAGCTTAAGCAACTAACCACTGCTATTAGTGTACTCTCAAAAGATATAAAAATTTTGGGAAGAAAAAGAGTGGATAGAATATTTTCCTCTTGGGGTAGCATGCTTGGAGACCTGGAGAATGTGGACATATGTGCATATAATGAAAGACATGCAAAGATACTCACTGCAATGCTGTTGGGAGAGCTCATTGACTCTGGAATTTTTATTAACTGCTGCCTTGCAAAATTCAAAATAATCAAGGCATTGCTGGACAGCTGCATTAATCTGTGGAAAAAAAAGAAAGAAATATTAAATATCGGATATTTTACTATAAAGTCATTCTGTCTTGTATCCAAGTACTATCCTTCAACACAAAAACCTAAATATCCACTACACTGTAACTACCGCATGTTTCAGGGCTTTCGATGGGTTAACCAACAGGAGGTAAAATTTTACAGGGCTATTAAAATACATTACAGTTATTACTACATTACTACACTACCAGTTCCTTATGCATTAACACAACTTATGAAAAAAGAGCAGAGAAAACCTGCAAGTATTCTGAGAAGTTAATGGCTTGAATACACTTACTAAACTGTCAGTTTGGTTGTCGGGTGTAGTCAGTGCTATTACTGTTCTTTTCAGAAGTGTATCATTATCACATATCCAATATGTATACACATTTAAAAATTATCAGTATGGATTTGGAAAGGAATCATAAATACAGCATATGAACAAGGAAGTACATTTAGATTTATTACAGTTTGGAGCTGCTAAGATTTATTCACAAGTGTAAGTAAAATATACAGACACATAATAAAAGAAAATATTTGATCATGTGTTTATGCTTATATTTTTAGACACTGTTAGAAATAATACTAAATAGGAAAGCAGCATAAGGAATAGATAAATAATCCTAATTAAACACCTGCTATAAAACATTCAAATTTCCCCTAGCTCCAGGTTGGTCACACACCCTTCTTTGCATTTAAGAATGATTCATTTAAGCAAAAACTACTTATAAAAACAAAACAAAAAATAAAATCCAAAAGGCTCATCTAGCTAAGTAACAGGTAAAAGCTCTGACAAAAAGAAAAAAAGAGAAAAAAATGTTCAAATCACAATGTACAAAGCAAGAACAAGTTTCTAGTAAATTTGCCTTGGGAAATACTTACCAAAGACTTATATTTCTTTTCCAAAAGCCTAAGTACCACTGTTCTGCTGTAATACCCATGCTAAAATGACAAAGAAGACCTAATGTCAATGTCAAATAGGTAAGTTTCATTTTTTAAATAAAGAGCATAACTTTTCTCTGATTCTGTTCTATTAGGAATCCTGTGCACAGCACATATTCAATGTATGGAACTCCACCTCGTGTAAACCACTATTACACTCAACTGAGCCTTTTGTTTGCACTGTATTTAAGACGACCAAAAAAGTTATGTCATTAGGAAAATGTGTACCAGAACATGCAGGAAAAGAGGAACTGTGCTGAAATATAAGACTACTTGTTTTGACGTTGCCATGTAAATCCTAAATTGTAAGTTTATACATGGTAGGTTGCAAAAAAATCTCTAATGTTCACCAGAGCTTGGCAAGTTTCATGCAGTGTGTCGTAAATATAACTGTACTTTCATGCTCACCACTTCTTCCAGAAAAATATTTGCATCGTTTGATGGTTGTCAGTCAATTATGACAAAGTGACAGCAATCACAAAGTGAAGTTAAGTTCCCAGAAATTTTATGAAAATTAGTAAATTAATAGAAATGAGGGAGACAGTAGTGTTGAGGGACAAAGGACATAAACACCTAAAAAAACCTCCCAGATCTCCTTAACCACAGTACTCATGATAGTTTGTTACCAGGACACAATAGGTCTGTGGTAACAATAGACATAAATCAAACTTCAAAATACATGTCAGACATAAACAAGTTATGGGTTTTTGGGCTGAACTTTTTTTGCTTACCGTCCACTTTTTAAACCATACTGCTTTGATGTCTAGCAGACCCAAGAAGTAGATGGGACTCAAAAAATCTGAAGGGTCAGGATGATTAGGCTCAGGCTTTATTGACAAAAGTGACAAGGTACTCTCCACTACTTCTTCCATGTACCTTATGACACAAATAGGAAAAATAAACTGAAAAGAAAAAGCACTTAAATCTTTCCAACAATAACATTAAGAAACTAGTTTCTTATAAAACTTTGTTGTTCAGATAGATCATAAATATCAACATTATCTTTAACTTGATCTTGTAAGGATGGATATTAGTTCTTTGTATTGCCATGAATAAAACTAACATACATATGTATTCTCCTAAACTATTATATTTTAAGTGTTAAATATTACACCTGTTACTTTGTAAAACTCCCAAATTATTTTTGTTGAAAAGCACTTAGAACACTTCAAAAGCTAAGTAAGCAGCTTAATATGATCCATGACTACTCCTATGCAGCTTCAGTTTTTCCTCCTTTCTGTTTTTATTCTCCCCTTATCAATGACCAGTCACCTGTGCATCCGGTAACCAACCCCTTGCTAAAATTATATGCATCTAGGTATACACAGAAAATCATTAAATTAAGATACAGGGACAGGTTTTTGAAGGTGACATACTTTTCTGGATGACGAATCCAGGAAGATGGAGCATCCTTTTGGTATTCATTTAAAAGGCGGACCTGAAAACAGAATTATTAAAATTGAAAAATAAATAACATATGATGTTTCAGTAATGATAAAAAAAGTATAAAAAGTTCATTTCTACCTTTTTAAGTAAACAATTTACATCTGGGTCTGATACATCCAGACCAGCCGAAATACGAAGAGAATATTCTCCAGAAAGAAAGTACAACTCCAAGTGTCTTGCTAAAAAAAAGAAAAAAAAAAAACAAACCCTCACCTCCATGCCAACTGGACAAAGTTGACTATATTACACAGCTTCATTAGAAAAGTTAAATGATTTTCATGAATTACATGACTCATGAAGACTTAAATGTAATTAACTGCACATACCTAAACTTGTATAGACTTCTCTTGTCATATTAAATGGAGAAGAGGAAAAGGTTTTTGCATAGAACCTAAGAATTTTCTCCTAAGGGAGAAAAAGCAAGCAATGTATTAAATAGCCATGTAACGGTGTATTATTATTACATGATAATCAATATGTAGTAGCATTACTCTTCATATATTGCTCAGATATCTCTACAGATGTTAAGCAACCTCACTGAGATATAAAGAAGTAGATCAGGGAATATTACTGTACTTCTCCATTAACATTAATGTTTTTATGTCACTGTTATACCAGTGACTTGTAACTAGCACTGTTGTAAAAGAAACTGTAGACCTCCTAAACTAAAAAGAGAAATACATTACAGCAGCTGGGGCAACTTTCCTATTTATTTGTTAATCACTTTAAAATTCAAAGAAAAATCTAAAGAAAAAACAGGCTTAATTGGCATAATAACCTAATAGCAATTTAAGCAGCTGCAATTTTTTTCCTCATCAGTGCCTATGTAATATTAGTACGTATCATATTCTCATCATCATGAAACATATACTTCATTGAAATAGGAAATATTAACAGGACATGTTTTACAGCAGAGTTTTGTCAACTTAGTTTTACAACTCTGTTTGCTAAAAGACATTCAAGCCTCTTCATTCCCATTAGAAGATACAGAGATTATTACTCCAGTCTCTAAAAATCCTATTGAAATCCTGTTGTAATCCTTTCAATCAAGATCTACTAGAATCATATAGTTCTTTTCCTTGAAAAAGAATTTAGGTAAAACACACACAAGTAATAAAATGTCTTGGGACCCTGAGGGACTACTCTTACTACACATTTAACCTCTTACTCCTCTTCAGTACTCTTTACTATGGCTACACATCTGACAACCAAGTGCAGAACATGAGCTTACACTGATAGTTGCATCAGGATCTGACAGAGACACCGTCAGGAGCTTGCGCAGACTCGGCCAACTCTCAGAGTTCAGCACATCAGAGAGGGGGGCAAAGCTCAGAGTCTGCACTGCTTCCTGCCGAACCTGAGGTGGGCAAAAAGGCAAACACCACAAGTCCCTTCACAGCAACCTCTCAAATATGTAATTTATAAGACAGTTTGGAGGAAGGAAGGGACAGGAACTAGCTGTAGAACAGACAAGGAATTCCAGAATACTTCTGCTGTATTATTATGGTAGTTTAGACAGAATACAATATCAATGAGGAACAAAAAATAAAAGCATATATCTGAAGAAGCAAGAGAACAATTTTATGTAGGCTTTCCATACTGGATGCAAGAATTATGTTCTACTTTCCCCTTGTAATCAAATATTTTGTTATCAGGTAATATAGGAAACTATCACCAAATAATCAAATGTGCCCAGCAGCATTCTAAAATGTCAGTGAGGGAAAGTGGAAACAGTTATTAGACAGCATATTTTACTGCTGAATTTTCATCAGCATTATCATCTAAATAATTTCTAGTAACTTTTTGTTGTTGTTCTGTTCCCACACAACTGTAATCTATAGCAATTTATTTCAAACTACTAAAACAAACTGTAGGAAATTTTATCAATATCTACTGGCACCAAATTTTTTACCTGTTTTTCTAATAGAACATGATCACAATGGTTATACCAGTTCCCACCTACCACACCTTTTTCAGCTTCCAGACAATCCCAAACAAATCCTACTGGGACAGCAAACTCAAAATTTCTCCAAGCTTCAAAAATTTCAGCAGCTGGTGCTGACTGGTCTTTAGAGACTCAAATTAGTACTGCCACTGACAGGGAAGCAAACCTAACTTGGACTTGATATATTCCATCTGGCAGCAGCTTGTTGGTAAATCAACAGACATCTCTCTCTAGTGGTAACACAAAGGACAACACAGAAATTACCAAGAAGGGCGAAGGGCACATATACAGAAAAATAAGCTTCGGTAACTTTATTTCTCAAAGAAAAAAAAATTTCCAAACTAAAAATGCCCATTAGCACGTACTCCTTAAAAAAAAAAAGTAAGATACTTGCTGCAACACTCGCTACTGAACCAGCTGGTTATGAACTATGAATTGGTACATGAACCAACAAAGACAAGTTTCTACTCAGGTGCATATGAACTCTTATTTACACAGAGTCTGTTTTCTAGATGACACAAACATTCACCTGTATTAATATATTATTTCTTCTTTAAAACTTACTTCCTTCGGCTGATTAGGGTCAAGCCTTTCTACAAGCAGCTGCAATTGTTCTGGGCTCATGAACATATAACTCTGTAATACACATTATAAAACAATCATTAGTATATTTTATTGAACTGAACAGCAGAAGATTAAAATTATCAGTCTTTCTGATATCTAATTTACTTTTAATAATTAGGACTTCAACATTTATATTAATTTAACATTAAAGCCAACATTCTAAATGCTTTCTGTCTTTTGCTCAAATTTAAATTTAGAGCAAGAAAATTACTGTTACATATTTTGCGTTGCTTTACTTAAAATTTTCCTGTATCTTCCTAAAATTTACTCCGTTACTAATACAGCATAGTGCAGTAGTCTGGAAATGAACTGCACACCATGGCTCCTAAAGTAAAATCACAAAAGGTTAGATGATGTATTGCTTTTACCACTATTTTATCTTTTTCTATGCAATACTTACATAGGTGCATTAGAGCATATTGGGGATCACATTAATCTCATCTAGCTTATGCTGTCTAAAGGTTAGCTAGCTAGTATGAGCTTAGTACTTCAGAGTGAAAGGAAGGCAATTAATTTGGTTTAGGATATATCAAAGACAGGAAGGATGAATCTTTTTCTAGAGCTCTTCTCAATCTCCACTGGCAGAAACTTAACAGTTTTGCAGTACCATGCTTATTTTGTAACAGAGAGAAAAAACACATTGTACTTGGTTGAACGAAGAGTCACTGTCAGAACAGTTGTCTGCATAAGAGCCACTCTGACGTTCTTTCTTTGTTTTACTATCCAGCTCCTTATTATGCATCCGATCTTCTTCAAACTTGTTAATCAAAGATTCTACCACAACCATCATGATATTCTTCAAGGCATGCATCATTTCTCTGTATCTTCAAAGTAAAGATGATTTTAATATTAAAGAGCATAAAAATCACTAGTTTAAAAAAAAAAATCACTGAATTGTGAATAACTGAATATGGCATAACGCTACTTAGGCCCAAGCATACTAAATTTACTGAAATGAAAGAAAAACAAATACAAATCAAGAATGAACAATGAAACATTTATGTACCTTAAATGTTTTAGATAACTGTATTTCAAAATATAAGAAAATTCCTTTTTGCCCTTCTAGAGCCATTCAGTGAAAACCCACTAACATAATCCTATTCTGAGGTTAAGAAAGCAGAATGTAATCCACCAAAAGGGAGAATCTGTTGTTGAGAAAACAAGCCAGTTCTAATCCTTGTTATTGTTTGTTTCCTCAAGTCTAGCATCCAGTTTTTCTCCTGCTATAAGCCTTGAGCAGAACCAACAGAAGAGAACACATCCTCGTGATTCAAGATCTCGAGTACAGGTCATGCACACAAAATTATTTTCTTTCAACAAAACCAGGGGTTTTATAAGTTACATAAACTGAGTAACAATATCCTCAGGGAAGCAACCCAAAAGAAAAGCTGCTTCAGAAAAACCTCCTATTGTAAAATATTCATATTTTCTTCCAAATTATTTTTTACTTTAAGGCTACTGTTACTTATTTTACAGTCATCAAAAATATAAATTACCATATTGTGCTTTAATAACCTCCTCCCTCTGAAAGTAAAAATATGATACAGACATACTGAGTTCATTGGATCTTCTTCTACCCACTTTTAACAAGCACAAGAACCCCAAACAAAAAGACACAAGCTGCATAATCTGCAGTCATCCTAACTGTTATTTTCTAGGTGAAAACAGAAGACACGTGTAGTTGATTACTGCTTTCTGACACAAATGACTGTTCTATGAAAATACAAAATGTATCACTACGGAGTTCAATTCCTTACTATGTTTTTCTCCATAGATACCTTTATGAACACTACCTACCACAGAAAATGAGTAATTGCAATGAACAAACACAAGTGGAACCTTAAATGGTCCTGAAAGGATACCAAGACCATCACAAGAGACTAAACAGTGCTCAGTCAGAGTTCAGAATGCTTGCAGACAGGACACAAGCCATATTTCTGTGTACTTCTAGGTAAGAAAACTTCTGAAAACAAACAAATATTTTAAAACAGAAACATACACTATTTTTAAATTCTGTTCTTACAGAGGGACACATAGAAAGCAGTTGGCATCACAGCAAAATCCTAGTGCCACTAAAAGAAGAAATGAAATGAAGTTTATGCCAGAAAGATGAGTGAAAAAAGCAGCTCAGCTGAAAAAAAAGCAGCTCAGTGTACAAAATTATTTTATGGGCTAGCATATGACAGACAAAAATTGTCTTTTCTGTTTTCTTCCTCCATAACACAGAAAAATTACCACTGATGCTAAAAAATAGTGGGGGGTTGGTTGGTTGTTATTCGTTTCTCAACATTTGCCATTTCAGGTGCTCACTTTACTTGCATTATGATGTAGTTAAGACTTTTACAAGAATTCCAAAAACAAAGTGAGGCATAGACTAAACTTTTGAGGGTTTACATATTTTCTGGAAACACCAGCTGTATATACTAAAATGCATTTTAGAAATACTACTGAACACTGCTTTAAGGAATCATGGTAATTATCTGCTTATGCAAATTTGAAATCCAAAGCATGAAAATTCACTAGGAGAGCTATCAGCCTCTGTATTCCAAGAAAAAGTTATTTTAATGTCCATAGGAAGGTGAATAAAATTACTAGGGAAGAGATGACTAAGAAAATAATTTAACTGTACTCACAGTACTCACAGTTTGTCTATTTAAGGTTTCTTTACCAAATACAGTGTTCAAAGCCAACTAATCTGGACCATAGACCCTGTAATATGCTGGTATGTGGTTTTATACACCTAGTGATTTCTTGCCATCTAATGGTCTGAGTCAAAAAATCTTGGAAAATTATCCACAGTTGGTCCACATGCCAATTCTACATTATACAGACCGCACTGCAGAAGTATCTTTGCATGTACACTAAAATGCAAAACAAGACAGCTCAAACATTTTTAAACTAGTCAATGAAAGCTGATTTGACCGAATGTGTAGATGTGGCACTTGGAGACGTGGTTTAAGGGTCATGGTACTGGTGGGCGATGGTTGGACTTGATGATCTTAGAGGTCTTTCCAACTTTAATGATTCTATGATTCTATAAACATACTAATCTTTCAGGACCTCTGGCCAGATCGTGTTCTAATTTATAATTTAGTTTTTAGAAAACAACACTGCCATGAAGACTCTCTACTTATATCTCAGGAAATCAACAAACTTTAATACCTGATAAAATTTTTTTTTTTTTTCATTTAGACAAATGTCCATATCACAACTGAATTTAATTTGCAGGTAATACAACAGTATGAAGTAGTGATTCTTCTTTTATCCCTGCCCAACTCCAGGCCCAGATACCTCAGAAACTTCATAGATTTGCTACTGATCTTCTTATACAATAATTCATAATTTAATTCCAGAGCGAGACAAAGCATGACAAATTGCAATGCAGGGTGGGAATATTTTAATTGCTTTGCACTGATTTTTGAAGGCAAAGAGTCACTGTTGTTACCCAGTGGTTCAGAATTTACTTTTTCAAAACAACTTATGGTGAGTAGGAAGAAAGGCAAAGACCAAGAAGAAACAAAAATGTGTATTACATGTTGATACTCACTCTTCTGATTCACGGATCTTCCTAGTAACGTGTTGAACGAGTGTGTCATAGCCAGACACTTCACCCTGATTTTGAGCAGAAGTACATTTTTCTGTTTCTTCTTCAATCACAGATCCCACTGTATTATTTATATATTGTCTAAGGTACTTCACAAACTCATAGCTGCAACAAATATACAAAATTAAAATGTAGCATATTTCCTTGAGCTCACCATCAGTTTCAACAAAATATTAACGTTCAATATCTTCTCTCCCAGCAGACCTGTTACTTTAAGGTAAGGACTTATGACTTGCACAGAAATAAACTTCAACTGTGAAAAAAAACCACAATAAAGTTTGAGTTTCTTTAGTATGGTCATTAACAGTATACTCCTGGAAAAAATAATACCAACTAGTTTCTAATTTCCTTTGTGCTGCTTCTAAATGTAAAAATCTACTCAGACAAAAGGTTAAGGTTTTGTGGAGAAAAATCACAGACTATCAAGAAATCTCATATTTAAAAATCCAAAAGAAACATTACTTGGAGTATCTTGAATATAGCACTGTCTTAGAGATATAGACATCTCCTATTACTATTTATGCAGCATATGTAGAAAATGAGAATACAGAAAACACTATTTTATTGAATTTATTTTATTCTTCCATGTCTAAGTCTTAGGAGAGTCTGGGTGTCACGGCAATATGCAGAAGATCCCACTCAGTCAAACTGACAAACTAGCTGTCTTTGTGTGATTACAGGCACAAGTTAAATGTCAGGAAATTGGCACTTTACCCTCTTATTATTAGATACAGAAACTTGTTTAAGCAAAAGAATAATCAGAGGAGAATTTCAAACTAAAGACTCACTGGGTCCTCAGACTCTGTAATAGTGATAGAAACTGCTAAAAGGTAGTGCTCAGAATACATTATTTTTTTTTCTTAGTCTTCTAAATTCAGTTCATTACATAGGTAAAGAGTCCAAAGCTATAAAGTGTAAATAAAAACAACTGTTAAAACAGGCAGAAGATTTTGCCTTTCTTGAATATTAAAAAAAATAACAACTAAAATATCAAATCAAACTACACACAAGATACATAAAAAACCAAGCACAGAAAATTGTGTCTTGTATCACGATACATACCTCCTTTCTGGATTGCCTATCTCAAGTTCCTTTAAAATCCTGATTTCTACTACTGCACACAAATTCTGAACTTAATTCAGTTTCTCTTTTTATTAGCTTTCCAAGCATCCTGTGTTTCTGTTTGTCTACGTCAAAGTAGGAACAAAGGATTAAGTAAGGCCTCAAAATCTGACAATAATTACTGAGACAAAATAACCATTAGGCAGAAACAGCGCTGATCAAAACTCTGAGCTGAGCTAGTATATTGTATAATTCAAAAGCAGACACTACTAATAAAGGAGCTTGCATTCTGGATGGATGGGGTCACGGAGAAAGTTTCTTAATGGTCTGACTAATAAATCATCATATGACCTCTCTGACTTTTCATGAAAACCAACTTATACTGTCACGGGACATAAACGGGACTAGAATAACCCCAGAAATATTCCAGTGCCAGACAGTAATGCTCACATTCTGAATTTAAAGCACCACTTGATTTTCCATTAAATTTAAGTTACAACTCTTTTCATGGAATGACAGTATTCTTAGGATCACTATTTTTTTAACATACCAGAAAGAGTAGTGGGTACTATGGCTTCACTGTTCTAAAGGGGAAAGCCATATATGCATTGCTTCTACCAGTTACAGACTTTATTCCCTCATCCTGGGTATTCTCCTAAAAAGTCCTCACAAGAAACAGTGACAATTAATTTCGTAGGTTTTTGGCTCTTGGGGTTTTTTTTTACTCTGTGTGTGTATGTATATATATAT